CGAGTTTATTCTGGTTAACTTCCCGCATCAAAGTTTCGACTGGATATCGAATTACTTGATTTGGAAAAGATACGGAATCCGGTCCAGAATTTGCAAGTTCTTTAAATCGTGGAGAATTATCTAATCAGAATGTAAAGCGGATCAGATAATAAATTTAGACAGTATGTTTTTAGACTGACCGTGGAATACAACGTTCTTGTTAGTCATTGAATTCCAACATTCGGCAACGGTCTCATGTTTTCGGAATGTGGAACATTCCGTGGCATTATTTCTGTTTGAACCCTTTCGTTCATCTCACCCGCGCTTTTGTACTGCGCACACTGTGCCGGATGTGCTGCTAGGTCACACTGATAGTGTTGTGAGGTACTACTCGCATTTGTGAGTAGTGTGCAATAGGATGCGCGATTGGTGGTTTCTTACCACTGTTGAAAAATGAACAGTACCCGTTGGAGTCTTATCGCTGGTGTTCAGTATGGTAACTGCCACAAATGCGCATGTACTAACTGTTTGACCGTTTCACTTGTATTTAATGTTGTGGGATAATTAATATTGATTAATTGATTGGGATTGACCATCCCTCAGACTTCACCTTCACACACGTTCCTCAGCTGTTCCAGTCAACCATACACACTCGTGGAAGCACTAGACTCGAGTTTCACTCTTATTCGAACTCATCAGTAGTACATATCCACCGCCCCGCCCGGGATTTAGACTCCGGACCCATCGGGCATGAAAGGCCCGAGACTGAACCGAATTGCCAATTCATGTGTTTGTTCCGGGTGTCGTCTTCAGTGATAGTCAGTCTGTTCAATTTTGACCCGATAACAACGAATGAGAGACAGTTTACTTCGATTGAAAGCCTCCAACCACCAAGTCAAGTCTTCCATGCCGAGAAGAGATATCTCTCCGTTTAGCTCATTCCTGTCCAATTCAACTAACCCATGATCCTTTCTCCCCTGTCCTCCAATTCTCTCTCTCTCTCACCCTCCCACCTTGCCATGCACACACACACACACACACACACACACACACGTATCCCCGCGGCCATAGGCAGCCGTTGTCAGTTTGGTTAAAGATGGCCTAAAAGTGCAAACACTGGCAATCGGGGACGGTGCGAACGATGTTAACATGATTCAAGTGGCCAATGTGGGGGTCGGAATTGGTGGTCAGGAGGGAATGCAAGCAGTCATGGCCTCGGATTTCGCAATCACTCGATTCGCGTTTCTCGAACGTCTGGTGATTGTGCACGGGCACATGTGTTACGACAAATTGGCCCATACCGCGCTGTACTTGTTTTACAAAGATGCGGTAAGTTGACACGACCCTATCGGACCCAGTCGTTAAATGGGTTCTATTTGTTTTTTACTGGTCCGGACGAAGCCTGTTCCATTAGCACCCGATCAACAACTTGGTTGATCAGTACTGGTCATATACATATATCGGTTAAATTCCACAATGCGAATTGGGCTAAACGTTCCACATACGCACGAACTTACACTCGGGTCGTATGATATCAATGCGGTTGATGTGGTTTGTCAGCATATTCTGCACCTCGTAACGTATATCTGTATCAAAACTGTTTAGATTTATATTCTCCTTTCCGGACGCCTAAAACACATGCACAGACACACACACACTCGCGCCTGTCGATCGTTTTTGTTTGCTATCTTTTGGTTGTCCATTTAAATGAACGAGTAGGAGACTTCAGTACGTTCGCCTTACACAGGCTTGCTTGCGGTGTGTGCCAAACAAATCATGTTATAATAATTTTTGTGAGAAAGAAAGACGTTCCATGATTGGCTTGTGGGCTGAATACTGCCAGGTTGTCCAGGCCAAGACAGGTGAATTGTTTTGAAAAATCCCCAACCGGAGCCTTTGGCTAGCCAAAACCTGACCCGCAAGGCAGCGGTGGGCGGGGCCTTGTCATCGAATCATCGGATCACACGCCCTTCGAACATGGTCAGACATCCAAGGTGCCCAATACACCGTGATACCCAATCGAGCCGATAACCTATTGCCACAACCAGGAAGTTGTTTGTGAGTAGTTCGTACACCTCCTCATGGTTAGTTTGGAATCAGGGTTTTTTTGGCCAACTCCTCGAGGTGGACTGTCAGTGGTCCACTAACCTGGTTACAACCCCGGATGTCGACTTTTTGTCCTCTCACTTTGATGAAAGAAAGCACCTCCGCAACACGAGAACGTAGTGTTTAGGGCTTCCGTAGCAGAGGCTGTTTGAGACGCTTGGTCGTATGAGAGTATTTCGCGAAGCGTAAGGGAATGGTGACCAGTTGCAATCCTAGACACCCACCCCTGACCATACTGAGGCTTTTGGAGGAGGTATCTCACAATGAGGTTCGAATACATCACCTTACCCATAGCGTATTGTAATGACCAGACGACTGGTGCACACACACACACACATCGTTGCCATTATACTCAAATAACTATGTATCTGTGGTGCAAAAAACTGTATTGCACAACAAGGACATAGCTGTAAGACCACTCATTGTGTACAGCGTAACAGACCATCGTGTCATGCAAACCTAGCGGGTATATGTGACATTCAGAAAAATGCAGTAAGAGATTCGCCTGCTGCGGACACCTCAAAGTAAAACAGTACGATTGTGTTACACGTTTCACATTTGTCTGAGTCCACATTGTGTACCAACAACACATCACGGTACAGGCATATTCGGAGTAGAGAAAGAAATCAGTTCATCTATCAGGTTTCAGTTTCAGTTTTTACAGACATGCGATTTTGATGGGACGGTTTTGGTTGCTGCCCTCGTGCATGACCATTTGGAAGTAAACACAAACAAAGTGAGGATTGGGGAGCAGCGTTA